TGAATAAAGAAGTTTCTATTTCTACTTATACTATTGATTCACATGATAATGATGTTTGACATTATAGATTAGGACACATTGGTAGTACTACTATGAATCACATGATTTCACATAATTTTGTGCCTACTAATAATCGTATTCTAACTACTCAAAATTGTGAATGTTGTGCTCAAGCAAAGATTGTTAAGCATTTATTTAAATATGTCTCTAGATCTACTAAAGTTGTTAGAATTAATTCATACTGACATATGTGATAATAAAGATCTTTTGACTAGAGGAGAGAAAAATATATTTTATAACTTTCATTGATTTCTATTCTAAGTATCCTTATGTGTATTTGATTAAAACAAAAGACGAAGCTTTTGAAAAGTTTAAAATATTCAAAGAAGTTGAAAATAGTTTTGGGAAAAGAATTCAAAGGATTAGATCCAATAAAGGTGGTGAATAAAGCCTAAATGAGTACATTAAATTCTGTGAAATGCATGGAAAAATTAAAGAAGAGTCAGCCCCTAATTTTGCCCCTCAAAATGGTGTGCCCGAATGGAAAAGTAGGACTTTATTAGAAATGATTAGTGCTATGCTATTACAATCCAATTTGTCTACTAGTTTTTGGGGGTGAAGTCTTATATACTGCTTGTCATATAACCAATAAAATCTTGCACAAGGATCAAGATAAAACTCCTTATGAGTTATGAAAAAATCGAAAGCCTAACATTAATTATTTTAAGGTTTGGGGTTGTATAGGCTATGTGTTAGATGTAACACAAAAGAGACCTAAGTTTGGAAGTAAAGCCACGAAGTCTATATTTGTTGGTTATGCTATTCATAGTAAATCATTTATATTTTTAAACTTGAGTACTAATAATGTTTTTGAATCTACTCATGCTATTTATTTTGAACATTTGACTATTAAAGATGCAAATAGACATGAATTAGAGAAAGACTTAATGATTGAGTTTGATAAATTTGATATCTCTCAAAATAATGAAGAGAATTCTCATGATATAGTTAGTGGAGATAATAATAATAGTTCAACCAAGTGAATTGAGAGGGAGTAAAAGACGGAGGATTGAAAATGATTTAAGACCTGTATGTTCACATATTTTATAGAAGAAGATCCTCAAACTTTTAGTGAAGCCATGTCCCTACCCGATGCCAATTTATGGAAAAAGGCTGTGGATGATGAAATCAAATCCAATCATGATAATAACACTTAGACATTGGGTAATGTTCCTCCTAATACTAAAACTATAGGATGTAAATGGGTTTTAAGAAAGAAACTTAAAACTGATGGAAGTGTAGAAAAGTATAAAGAAAGATTAGTTGCTAAAGGGTTTAGTCAAAATAAGGTATAGATTATTTTGAGACCTTTTCTCATGTGACTTAAATAACATCTATAAGAATAATGTTTGCAATTGCTTCTATCTATAATTTAGAAGTACATCAAATAGATGTTAAAACTGTTTTTCTTAATGGTACTTCAGATGAAGAGATTTATATAAATCAACCTAAAGGTTATGTAGTTAAAAGAAAAGAAGAGAAGGTATGTAAATTAAATAAATCCTGATATGGTCTTAAACAAGCACCAAGACAATGGTATGAAAAGTTTAAGAAAGAGATTAAGAATTTTGGATTCAAAATCTCAAAACTAGAAAGTTGTGTGTTCTATAAGACTACAAATGATTACAAAGTTTTGGTGACCTTATATGTTGATGATTTATTGATATTTGGTTTTAACTTACATTGTGTTAATGAAACTAAAAGGTTTTTAGCACAAATGTTTGACATTAAAGATATGGACCTATGGATACCATTTTAGGGATTAGGTAATAAAAAATAATGAAGGTTTTATCTTAACTCAATCACACTATATAGAGAAAGTGTTAAAGAAATTCAATCACTTTGATTGTAAGACTAGTCAAACACCATTAAATACTAATTGTAAACTTGTACCCAATGAAGGGGTATCAATAAATCAATAAGAGTATGCTAAAATCATTGGAAGGTTAATGTATGCTATGAATAATACAATACCTGATATTGCTTGTGCTATAAGAATATTGAGTAAATTTACTAGTAATTCTAGTTCTGAACAGTGTAAAGAACTAAGTAGCGTTTTGAGATATTTGAAATATATTATGAATTATGGATTACATTATCATTGCACAAGCTTTGTTCTTGAATGTTATAGTAATGCTATTTGGGCATCCGATAGAACAAACTCTAAATCAACTAGTGGTTGGTTACTCACTTTAGGTGGTGCTATTGCTGCATGGTCTTCTAAGAAACAATCATGTATTTCATTATCATCCATGGAATCTGAATACAATGATTTGTCATTAGCCAGTAAAGAAATTATATGGACGAAGAAGTTTATGACATACATTCCTTTTATTGATATTATTAAAGGACCTGATACTTTGTATTGTAATAATCAAGCAATGATTTATAATACCAAGAATAAGAGAATATCAAATAATAGCAAACATATTGCTATGAGATACAATCATATACGGAAGATTGTAAAAAAGGTAAAGTCACACTTGAGTACTTGCATATTGATCAAATGAAAGCGGATCGATTAACAAAATCACTAAGTGGTGAGAAGATCAGTAAAACCATGAGAGGTATGAGAATATTACTGATGCAATATAGATAATCTGTAAAATCCGGGTAAATTTGAATTTTTAAGAAAAATGACAAAACGGTAATATGCCACTACGGTACGGGTTGAAAACTTGAATTTTTCTAGAACTCGGATGATGAAACGGACTTCACCGCTGGATTCATCTCGCACAATTTAGTTATCTAGTCAATTTTTATCAAATTCTGAGACAGTCAAATTTTTCGTATTTTACGAAACGAACGAGTGTCGCATGACCTTAAAACGAAATATAGAATATTTCAAAAGTAAAATTTAAATAGATCTCCACCGCAAAAAAATTAAAAATTATTTTGTTTCTTTTAAAATTTAAATTATATTATATTTTATTATATAAATTGATTGCACCGAACAAAAAACGTTTTAGTTTAAGGACTTAAAAGGAGTAGCGCGATACCTGTAAACAATATTTACTTTGTTTCAGTTAAGAGAAATCGCATTACTTTCCGAGAGTGGCCCTATGCATTGTTACCTCAAGGTTCGACTAATGGCCATTAAGATAATAATAATAATAATTATTATAATAATAATAAATTATTATTATTATCATCATTATTATTATTACTATTAATTATAAAAGTGATACCAAAAAAGTAAGAATAAATATTATGATAGTACTAAAGAAATTATAAAGGCAAAATATAAAAAGAAAAAATATGTTTCAATCCATTAGTAGTATAATTATATACTAATTACAATTTTTTAAGAAAAAATTATATTTTTAAGAAAAAATTATATTTTTATTTTTGATTTTATTTCAATAAATAATACAATAAAACATGAATTTTGATTATAAAATTTAAAATATTTGATATTCTATCTTTGATTAAAATATTTTTGGTCAAGTAGTATAACATTTTAAATTTGAGAGGTTTAAGTATTATACGCCTACAAACTTCAACGCGTCTAGATATAATTTACTAACGGATATACTAATAGACATTGGCAGTAGGAATCTAATTTTTACCGACATACAAACTCAAAAAAATTTTATATAATATTTCAAATGTCAAAGTGTCTAAATCATAAAGAGTTTGAGTATAACTCTCCCTATTTTCTTTTGAACCGGGTTTGATGCTTGCAAAGCTGAAAAGGTACCACTATTCTATTCTATTGCAACAAATTAGGACAGAAATATGACTAGTTGTACGAAATGATTATTTATATAGTTCTTGTAGTTATTATAGTGTTGCAAATAAGAACAAAAACTTGATGGTCCCTCCACGATGCAAAGAAAGAGACATGGTTCTTACCTCCCCACAAACACATATACTCTCTCTCTGCCTCTCTTCCCCCCACCCACCCTCCCGGGTACATTCATACATACAAAATAGTGGGCTTACATTGCTGACCATGCATGTTGTCTGGAGGAACTATTGGGAAGCCCAATAAACAAATGAAAATGTGTTCTTAAACGAGAAATACTGACGACATCACCAAGGTATCTGACCAAAAAAAAATGGGATTGGTTGTTTTTGGCCAAATATTTTAGAGCTAGGGTTTGTTTTGGAAGGCACATTCCAAGAATCTTGTTATTTTTCTGTGGTTCTTCCCAATGAATGACAGCATTCAAGCATGGAAGAGAGGGATATGCCAACCACCAACCAGCATGCATCTCTCTCTCTCCTCAAGTCAAAACTTGAATTTGGTCGAGCATTAAAAGTGCACAGTGAAGGATCTCGGAATGATAGATGTAGGAGTCGCCAAAGGAATTAAAAATACTCATTAAAATATAAGGGCATCCTACGGCAATTTGTGCTTTCACGTTCACCACTGTTCAGAGAGTTTTCCCGGAGTAATTCTTGAATCCTTCCTTGGAAGCAAAAGTTTGAGAACAAGATTAATAAGTAGATCCACATGCTTCTTAACAACATATTTTCCTTTTATAAGGCTACTAAACTCTAATTCTTTATGAATATGTATATACTCAAAAAAGAAAAAAAATTGAGATACATGAAAATAGATTTTTAGTGGATGCAACTATATCTAATTAAGGAAAGCAGCAGAATTAACGTGCTACCAAACCCTAGAAATAACACAAGTGCGTGCGCGCACACACACACACACACATATATATATATATAATTTGCTTTTGTAGTTATAGCATTTCATGCCCAGGCTTCATTGTCAACATTTCATAAGCTCAAAATATTTTTTAGAGTCTCAAAGCCGAAGCAGCAACATTTTGCTCAAATTACAAAAGTTTAATCCGAACATTTTTGTCCAAAATCTTGGTAGATTATGCCCAAAAAAATTCATCAAAGTACTAAAATAAGAAAATGCAGAAAATAGATATGCGTATCTTACAATGGAGATTAAGAGGAAGCTATTAATTAATTTAAAAATCAGAATTTGATGAAGTCCAAATAGAGGCCGATAGTAAACGCCGTGATTTCCACCCTAAAACGAGTTTATTATTGGCCAACTCCTCCACCCTATATCCATCATTGAAAAGTCCCAACAGCAGCTTTGCTTGACAATGATTGGCAAAGCTTATGCTAACGGGATTGAACCCCACCGCACCCAACCACTGCCCCCAAGAGTATCCCTCATCCTCACAACGAGAACGATAGATCCGGGCCAATGACCCTGATATTCGGGGCCCCAAGAAAACCCGCTCTACCAATGCCCGAGCTTGTCCTTGCATTGGAAAGCCTGCCTCGAGCGAGTCATAGACCGCCGAGTAATGGTGTAATGAGTCCATAAATTGGCCCACAAACCCTCCTTCGCCTTTTGGCCCCATCTCCTCCTCGACTAGGGTCACTAGTCTTGGGTTTAAGGTCTTGGCTCCAGATAAAAACGAAGCAATTGAATCAGGTGAACGATAGCTGAAGTGGGGCAAGTGCAGCATACAATTGATCACAAGAGCCTCCCCTCTAATCAATTTCACGGCAGAGGGCCTAAATGTTTCATCAGAGTCTAACCTACATTGATGGAAAGAGAATGGTTGACCAATGGATGCTGCAAAAGCAATCAAACGGCGACCTGTCTCTTGTATGGTCCCGATTGATCGACGACCGGACCCACCTCTCGATATCGCTGTGATCCGAAGGTGTGGGGCTGGGGGACCATCGTTCCTTGACACCAAAGCTTGCATCAATGAGGCCCATTGGATCCCCTCCATGATATCATAGTCCACTATATGCACCCTCCTATCATGTGCCACAGCTTCTAAAATGGCTTGATTGGCCGTGAATTGTCCAAACTTAACATAAGGGGACATATCTTGTAATAACTGAAATGCTGCAAGGATGTCCGTCGGATGATGATGATGATCACGGTGGTGGGGTCCATTACCCAACATATGCTTACCATGCGCACCACAAGCGCCTTCTAGCAAGCTCTGCAAGGCCTCGGTAAAATAGGCCGCCAACCTCTCCATGTTGGTGCCATCGTTTGGAGACACCAATTCCTTGAGCCGAACCAATATCACTCGAGCCAGATCACGGCTCTTGTTCGTGCCGGTCAGTGCCTCCGCCGCGGCCATCAAAAGGTGGACGAGCCTCAAACCTTTGAAGTCCTCCGTGCCGTTCGTTTCTTCATCCACCGTCATTTTCTCGAAGTCTGGGGACATTGAGTTGCACCTTTCATAGGACAAAGCTTTGTTGAGCTGACTTGAGTTGAATTGGTGAAGCTCGGTGTTGTTGCCCATCATCGATTCAATGAGGTCCTGGAACTCATCGTGGCCACCAGAAAGTGCATCCCAGTCGACCACCGGTAGCCAATCATTCCAGTTGCAACCATGGTCATCTTCTGAAGAGGTGGTGGTGGTTGTCGTGGTGGTGCTGCTGTAACCGGATAAGTCGAGTCCGGCAATGGTGTCATCGACAACCATGGCCATTGCTAACCTAAGTAGCTTACTGCTTTGGAAAAGCTAAGAGTGTGTCTGGAATCTTTAGATGTTTTAGGGGTGCAAGTGTTGGTATTTAAATGAGTTTGGTTAGAGGAAATAGCTGAAATAAGAGACAGTGTATGCGAGCATTGATTGGGGGTTTAAGTCTTTCATTAAAGAGGATTATGGTCTATGATGGGCCGCTGATGCTGTGATTAGTTAGTTTTATATTTTGAGTCTTAATCATCACCAATAATGTCTCCATGATCGTTACGCTAGTGCCCTTGGTTTAAGAGAATAATTTCAAAAAATATATTCTCCCACTACCAAAGATAGAAAAGCTGGATTGCTGAAATACTTTGGGAGCTAGGTGGATTTGTGTCAAGGGTGTATCACTAAGTGAGGGGTCACGGAGACATATTCAGCTAGAAGCTCTTTGGGGCTAGTAATTGGCAGAGATAAATCAAGCATTTTAGGATGATTTGCTAAACTTTAATAATTTGTTTTTTTTGAAGCAGTGCGATGAAGAGAAATAACACCGATATAGTTTGTTAATCTAATTCATTATTATCGTTGAACTATTGTTAAACGTAATAGAAATGATTCAGTTGCTCAAACAAGAATAGTGACGTTGGGACCAAATATGTGAAAATAAACTGAGTTTCATCAAAATCTCTAAAACACTATATTTTTCTCACTTTGATTTTATATAATAACCAGGTGTTCTAAATAATAACCATTTATTGTTAAAAATATATTGGAAAGATCCAAGTCGATTGAGATTACTCACCTCGTTTTTTGATCATATCAAAATTAAATGGTTTCCATTGAACTTATTGTACTTAACAATCTCAAGAAGCCTACCACATGAACTAGCAACCATTTGGCATAACACCGAAAGCAGAGAGATTTGAGCAAATCCAGTTGGTTTGATTGATTCCAATACTCCAAATGCAATAGATTGAATTTGAATCACTGAACACCAAATGACTTGTCTCCATGCATGGTAACCAACCCAACAATGAAAGTTAAAATAAAAGCCAAAGCTCAAACGGAAGCTAGATTTGCATAAATGGGTAAGACAATGGTACCAAGATTTTTTAGTACTCCACCTTGTTTTTTGGCCCAACGTAAAGTGGAATGTATAATATTTTATTGTTTTATTATTTCACTCTATATAATTATTTTCACAATCAATAGTTATAAAAAATTCAAAGTAAGATTTATTACCGTGAATTATTATGGTATGGTAGGGAGTATTTACGTGGTTTAATATGACTATAGAAGTGGTATATATGTATGAAAATTTCAGAAGGATTACAATTATATACTGAGACGAATTGAGAATGTTAATCCTATTCAATCACTTGAACTTAATCCAACTATTTATAGGCTTCGTACCACTGCGTTCACGTTCCATTCCTTTACACTATGCTTCGCTATATACACTGATCATTGATTTTTAGGCATAGTGAATAATTACTATGAATTATTTGAGAGAGAGAGAGAGAGAGAGAGCAACGGAATGAAACAGATAGTACACATATAAACTACAATAGTAGAACGGCAGAGGAGGCCCAGATCCTATTTGCTTAGAAATCATCAAATTGAAAGTTCAGTTAACGAAAAGGCAGTTTAAAATCAACCTCAAACCATGACGAAACCCTTGTGGCTTTAACGATTTAGTTACACCCAAAACGTTCAAAGAGAGGTGAGTTGACTAGTCGTTTTCCCTATGATCATGTCACTAGCTCCACCACCTCAGCCTTGCCGGCTCCACCGGCTCAGCCCCGTCCTCACTCCTCACCCACTAGCATCATTTTTTGGCTTTTTATAAGTTTTTATTTTATTTGTACGAAAGGAATGTCCATGTCTTCTTCTATATTGAATTGCATCATGGTGCTATATTATGAATTTTTGCAAGTCAAAAATAAAGTTGATTGGTTGATGGGTAGCTTATAATTGATGATTCAATATTGTCAGAGAGGTTGATTAAATGTGGGGACTCAATATTGGTTTCGAATATGGACTGAAATATTTTTTATTACACTTTAATACTGTTGGAGATATAGCAGCTGACTAGTTTATTAAAGTTTTATCAAGTTTTTTTTTTTTACCTTTTTGTCCTTATTGTAACTCTCATTGACTATACATATACGGGGACTCTATACTTAATTTGTATTCTTTTTACTTACATCTATCACAAGTTGGTATCAAAGTCACCAACCCTAACCTTCTCCCTGCCTCCACCAAACATCACAACCATCCACCGATGCCCTACCAGCGACAGGCTTCACACACCGACAAGCACCCAGCGGACGAAGAACTGCCTGCCCATCACCGACAAACCCATAACACCAACAAACACACTATCACCGATAGCTTCAACACCAAACCAACCTCCACCGACAATAACCTAGCGATAAACCCACTGCCCCAAGACTACTTCGTCCTCCACCGACTTCATAAACCCGAACAATAAACTGCCTAGTCCCACCGAAAAACAGACCCAGTCTAACCACCGAAAAATAGACCAGCCACCAAGACCCAACCGAACAACAGACCAGCCGAATGCCCAAACCCAACCGACTGCCCAAACCAAGTAACCGACTGGCTGCTCACTTATTTATACCAAACAATATATAGATCACTTATTTATTTCAACCAGCCCACTGTTCATTAAACTCATAGTTCTGTGTTTTGTCTTTGTGCACTTGATTATTTGGGACCATAAGACCTTTTAAGAGGGGTTGACTCCTCTTCTCCGTTGATATGTTCTTGATGCAGTAGATCACCTATTTATATTTATTGGATTTCTGGGCATCGTGACCTGATTATTTGAGAGTTTTCTAGACCTTCTTTATCTGTCTCTACTGTTCAACTAGAGGTATATTGTTCTCCCCTATTTTATCCCTCTATTTATCTTAGAGTTATTTTTCTGTCACAGGTGCTCTAGTATTATTGTTGATATGACTACTACTGAGAGACTTGAGACCCCTACTGTTGACAACTCTACCGTTGAGACATCTATGAGTACTTCTACTTTTATGTTTGACCAGTATACAGTACTTACTACCACAGTTACATTACCAGCACTATCGGACATGATCTCTCAGAAAGTTACGGCACAATTGTTGAATGGTCGTAACTTCGCTGAGTGGTCTCGCTCATTTCAGCTTTTCTTAGGCCATGTAGGGAAGCTTAGTTGGCTGACAGGATCTCACCCAAAGCCAGCTGATGCTGACCCTGGATATTCTGCGTAGTTCTCTGAGAACTGCACCATTCTTAGATGGTTATTTGGCTCGATGAAGTCATCTGTTTGCAGGATCTACTAGTTTCATAGATATATTCCGAAGCTATAAAGCGCATTATCAGATATGTATTCTCAGTCAAGATGGGAAGTTCGTGTTTATGAGCTTTCTCAGGAGCTCTCATATGCTCGGCAGGGAGATATGATTGTTTAGGATTATTATGGCTATTTGACCTAGCGTTGGCTTGAGTATAAGACTCTACGTCTTCTTGCTGCTATTCCAAAGATAGAGCTCGATGGAGCAACATTCTTGCATACTTGAGAGCAGGAGGATAGGATTCACAAGTTCATTATGGGGCTTCGTGATGAGTTTGAAGGACCTCGTTCTCAGATCTTGTCAATGTTGACACTTTCTTCTCTTTATGAGGTATATGAGATGATTGAGCAGCATAAGCGCCGAGTCCGTATTGCATCACTTCCAATTGTGGCTTTGACTTCTTCAGCTGACCAGATGGCCCTTGCAGCTGCCGCAAGGTCTCGTTTAGGATCCTCAGTCAGGGGTGGGCAGCGCTCGGACTAGCGCCGCTAAGGTGCCCCAGATCAGCGCAGACAGAGAGATTCCCGTCAATGTGAATATTGTGGCCGACCAGGACATCTTAGGGCTACTTGTTGGAAGCTCCATCCAGAGCTTAAGCTGCCTCCTCGCAGCCATACTGTTGTTATTGCTGAGGTACCACCACCCACTACCGCTACTCCTACTGCTGCTCCTCCTTGGCAGAGTGATATGGATATTATCGCTTCCCGATTAGATATACTTATGTCGGCTCTGACTTCTCAGAGTCCGACTACTACTACTGTCACCACTACAGGTATACCTCGTGCCTTTCACGCTTGGGCCAGTTCATCTCCCCTTTGTATGTTGGACTCGAGTGCGAATTGTCACATGACAGGTGAGGCCCATCGCTTCACCACTTTGACGAGCAGTTACATACACAGGTTCAGTTAGCAGATGTGACATATGCCCCTATTGTTAGTAAGGGTATAGTCCGCCTCCTAGATGGCCTTACATTACGTTCAATTTTTTATGCGCCAAAGTTGGTCATGAATCTATTATTTGTACATCAGTTAGCCAGATATTTTCACTGTGTGGTTGTATTCTTATTTGATTCGTGTTATTTGCAGGACCTGAGTACCAGAGGATTATTATCAAGGGACATGAGAAAGATGGACTGTATCACCAATTCCTCCACCTACATCACCTACACCTGCAATTGCTTTGTCTTTTTTTGTTCCTAACTTGCATGCTAGTATTTTACCTAGTAGTTGTCGTTATGATTTTTCGTCACAAACTGTTCAGTTGTGGCATGACCGTTTTGAACATACAAATTTTAAATATTTATGTATCTTGTTTTCTGCTTTGAGCAATGCTTATGTTGGTGGTAAACTTGATTGTATTATATGTTCCCTATCGAAACATGTTAGGGCCAGTTATATTCCTCGCATGCACCAATCACCCAAGCCGTTTGACCTAATACACTCTGATATTTGGGGACCTTCTCCCGTTACTGCTCTGTCAGGTGCCCGATACTATATGACATTTATAGATGACCATACTCATTGTACTTGGGTCTACCTTTTGCATCGAAAGTCAGATGTATTCTCTATAATCACTCAATTTTTACAGATGATTAAGATACAATTTGATGTCATTGTTCGTGCTCTTCGTTCAGATAATGCCAAAGAATATGTGTCTGACTGA